AACCAAAGGCACCGTTTCATTGATGGAACCAAAACAATAATTTTGGCACGGTATTAATTGAGGACCCAGTCCCTCAATCGCTACAAGTAGTTGAATTTGAACGTAAAGATTCAAGGCGCTAATAAAACTGTTATAATTATGATAGATCTCATTGGAGTTTTTCAAAGTTTTTGGTAAAGATATTTGGCCTTGTTCATAAAAACTTAATTAGAGTGACATTTTCATACAAATTTTCAATTTATGAAGCTGTTAAAGTCTTCTTAATTTTTTTTATGAATTTGGGTAAGTGTTTTCTAAAAGTACACATGTTTCCCAAACTTAAAAAATTTAAAATCCAATTTCGACTTGCATGAAAAACCAGACGAAGAAGAGGCACCGAAGAGTCTTCTTTGGTAATAAATTGTGTCATAGAAAAATTTTCATCGAGGTTTTCTAAATTCAAGGAGTTATCGAAAACACCCAAATTTATTATGTATCTGATGTGACTTCACTTGATAAACTAAACTTGTGAATAAGCAAAGAGTTGGAATCAATCGGATTAGAAAGACCATCAGCCAATTTGAGCAAAAATGCTAAATCTAAAATTTTAAAAACTTCGAATTAAATTCCAAACATATTAGCTGTGTTCAGGAGCTGACATTTGCTCTCTTGAAAATATTTTAATCTACCTATGCATGTGAGTCATTACCATCTACCACGTAACGTACGCAGAGACATTTAAAGGCGGATTCATCGTTCTAGTTCAGCACTTTTCATCCATGTGGTTGTTGCAGCGTTCTCTCCCAGAGAGAAAAAAAAGTTCTGAACTAGAACAATGAATCCGCCTTACGAGGTGCTTAATTCACCTTTACACCAAATTTCACCTTTTAACACCATTTACCAATTTTTCTTCATTTCATTCTACTTCTTTCTCTCCGTTTTTCAAGTCCTACCGTAGACTTCTACAGTTGAGCTTCCACTGACTCAGGACTGTTAGTTTTTGACTGGGTACGCCGCGGTTGTCAAGTCCATAGTTCCACTTAAGCGGCACTCCCTGGGGCGAGCCGCTTTCACGGCGGGGATTTAACTGACTTTCGACATTTAACTTTAAATTTGACAGTTAATTGCCGATCTTCTGTACAAATATTGGAAGCTATCCGACGAATGGGGGTCTACACTCCGTTGTGAAAACGGCAAACCTTTTGCAAATGAAATTAAGAATGCTAAACTTCTTATGTCTGCATTGATTGAGGTTCTCACATATGTACATAGACATGTACATAGAAAAGTTTTGTTTTTACTTGTACCACCCAAGTTGACTCTCACTGCGAACTTTGCCAATCGTAAATAAATATGTAAGTGCCATTATTAATGCATAAGATTCTGTTATCGAAATAGAGCAATTCAGCAGTAAACTAGGGACAGGGTTCTTCAATTGAAGTGAGTACACTTTTACGTTATAAGATGAAAGCAATTCAAAGCATGGCCTTTAGGTTTTATCGAGGAAAGGATGCACAACTTTTTTTTAAGAACAATTAGATTGGGTTGATACAAATCCAAGCAAGGAGTACGCACATATAACCATCTTATATAGTATATAGTTCCGGTTGCATTTCCAAGCTTTCAGCAATAGCTGAATTGTGTAGCTGAAAGCCTGAAAAGCACGGAACGACTGAAAAGTTTGTTGCGGAATTGTACTCTAAGGCTTCCGAAGGCTTTGTACTCAAAGCAGTGATCGCAGTAGCGACTTCCAATCATTTTGAGTCTCACCGTGTGCTTGTGCTCCTATCAGACAGAATCTGCTCAACCACCCGGCTCTTATCCGCACAATCATCAAACTCAGTACAACAAGGTATATTTTTTTAAGGCTCATTAACAGGTTATTACATTGTTTGTTTGCGCTCAAATAGGTAATTGTAGTCTGCCCCATTAAACCTTTTATTGGAGGTAGTGGAAGTTGAGCAGTGAGGCGGTATTAAAAAAAAAAACTGCATGAACGGACAATTAAATGCTCTAATTAATTGCCCATCTCTGTTGATGCACCCTTTATAAACACACTCAGTCGCAAGCAAATAAAAAATTATAATGAATGTAATATGAGTATTCATGAGGTTTTTGTTTTCACAGTTATGACTAAATTATTATGAAATGCGTGGAATAATTAATGTGAAAGTAATAACATAATAAAAAGCCAAACGTAGGTGCGACCATTCGAGTTATTGACTGGTATTTGGCAGACCAATTAGAGCATAACAACAGTTAAGCGGTATAACGGTAAGTAAGTATCAACTAAAATTAAGCTCTTAAGGGCCAAATAAAACGCTTTGATTGCATGGTCAAAACTTTGCATTCACACCACTTCAAATTCAAATTCACGTGTGTTCAAAGTTGTGGCTATTAATAAAAAGAAACTTGGCATAAGAAAGTTTCTCGTCACAGCAAAAATTAATTTTTAATTTATTGTCAAAGTGCTAAGAATTCTACACTGAAAAAGTTGAATTGATGATTAGAAAAAAACATATGTATATATGTACGTATATATTCCGCTAAATCGTGAATACGATAAGTATTTTTGAGCTGCCGTAAACCATAAAGAAAGTTAACATTTTAAAGAGAAATTCTGCATGGGGCACCAAGCGCGACTATTTCTTTCGGTGCATTGGTCTCTTGTTTCTTTGCCACAACCCCAAACTTTTTTACTTGACCTCATGAACTTTCAAAAGTGCTAACAATTCCCTTCGCAAGCTCAACCACAACCACTCGCGAATTTCGTCTATAAAAATGCAAACGCGTGTGGCAGCATTTACAGTCTTAATTAAAAAATCTTCATCGTGGTCGCACCAATGTCCGAAGCTCCGTGCAACAGCCGCCAGTTGCGGTACGACAATGTTGGAGGCGTCCGTTCAGGTAAGTAATCATATAGAAGCGTTCTACTCAAATTTCCTTCATCGCCGCTGCGTTTTTAACAGCCGCGTCAAACGTCCAAGCAACGCCTTCGGTACGCACCGTGCATGCACTGAACTATCTCTTCAGCGGCTTTCGCGTGCTCGGCATCTACATGCCCGCCCGCCGTAAGTGGCTCTACGCGCTCTATGCGCTCATTCCACATGTGCTGGTCACCATTTGGCTGCCACTGTCCTTCGTCTTCAGCTATGCCACCATGTCTGCCGCAGACTTGGAACCCAGCAGCCTGCTCACCTCCATTCAGGTCGCCATCAATGTGATTGGGTGTTCGGTGAAAATTGTTGTTATGGCTTTTCTGCTGCCAAAGTTGCGTACCGCTAATGCGTTTATGGATCGCTTGGATGCGCGTTGCCGCGATGAGGATGAAATTTGCGAGTTGCGTAAGATTGTGCGTCAGGGTAATCGTTTCGTGGTGCTCTTTGCCATGTCCTACTGGAGCTATGCGACCAGCACTTTCCTCGGCTCGGTGTTCTTTGGCCGTCCACCCTATGCGTTGTACAATCCGTTCCTCGATTGGCGCAAATCGAAACTAGAGTTCATAGTAGCGTCGCTGATTGAGTTCGCACTCATGGACGTGGCTTGCTTTCAGCAAGTGGTAGACGACTCTTATGCGGTCATCTATGTGTGTATACTACGCACGCATATGAACATTTTATTGATACGCTTAAGGAAGTTGGCCACGAATGCAGAACTGAATGCGGAGCAGAATTTGGAAGAACTGAAACTTTGCATTGTGGATCACAAGAATCTACTGGGGTAAGTTTGTTTGCCCCCCTGGATGCATTCGTAACCTCCCGCCCTTGCAGACTCTACAACATCATTGCGCCTATAATTTCTGTGACGATCTTCATCCAATTTATGATAACCGCCACCATACTCAGCGCTACGCTTATCAATATCTTCGTTTTCGCCGATCAGTTCTCAACACAAATCGCCTCCTGTTTCTATATACTGGCCGTGGTGGTAGAGATCTTTCCGCTTTGCTACTACGCGCAGTGTCTCATGGACGATAGCGAACGCCTATCGCAGCAGATCTTTCACGCAAATTGGATAGAACAGGACGTGCGTTTTAGGAAAATGATGGTTTTCTTCATGCAGCGCACTCAGCACGTGATGGAACTTAATGCCGGCAAGATATTTCCCATAACATTGGGCAGCTTTCTGAGTGTGAGTATGCGAGAATGTTGAGGTTTGATATGTATGTATAATTAAAACCCTGTCTCTACACAGATTGCGAAATTCTCATTCTCATTGTATACGCTGATCAAGAAAATGGGCATTAGGGAGCGAATGGGGCTGGAATAATGGCAAGCAGCAGTAGTCTCTTCATGAAAATCTTCTTAATTCTAAACAATAAAAATTGTGGGCCAAACTTCGATTAAATGGTTTCTTTCCAGTAGGGCGGGATCTTAAAATTAATATTGGGCACTAGGTTATCTGATAAATTCAGTATTTTCTTAACTTTAGTTTGCTATTTACAGGATTTAGTCAACATGGCCAACTTTTTACCTCGCCAGCTAAGGAAGCTGGTTTTTCAAGGCCTTCGCCCCGAAAAGGTCATTGTTGCCGAGGTGCAACCACCTGCCGAGCCAGTTCTAAGCAACGCCCAACTGATACGCCTTCAATTCGAGAGGGCTACGCGCACTCCTGTCAGCAAAAGAGAATCTTCGGCGCAAGAAGAAAATGAAGTGCGTCCTTACGGTGCCGTACACGACATCCATTCGAAGGATGGGCTCACGTATCTCTTTCGCTCCTTTATGGCACTTGGTGTACTTATGCCAGAAAAATATAAATTCCTCTATTGCCTTTATGCGCTTCTTCCCCTCGGACTCATAACCTTCTACCTACCCGCCGCTTTCGTGCTATCCTATTTCAAGCTGGACTACTCGACCATCAAGATCGGCAACTTGCTCACTTCGGTGCAGGTAAGCATTGCATCGTTCGTCGGCGCCATCAAACTATGTGTAATGGCATTCAAGCTGCCTAAATTGCGCGCTGGCGAAGCTATAATGTCTGAGTTGGACGCGCGCTGTAAGGATGAGGACGAGATCGAAGTATTACGCAAAGTCGTACGCCAGGGTAATCGTTTACTGGTTTATATTTTAATTTGCAATTTAATCTATTCGACAAGCACTTTTTTGGGAGCAACGCTGAAAGGACGGCCGCCCTACGATATTTACAATCCGGTAGTGGATTGGCGCAAATCAAAATGGCAATTCGTATGGGCTGCGCTCTGGGAATTTATACTCATGGATGGATTGTGTGCCGAGGAGGCTATAACCGACTCGTATGCTCCGATTTATGTTTGTATAATTCGGGCGCACATGAAGACGCTGCTCATGCGCTTACAGAAACTCGGCTCTAATCCAGAACGCTCTCGGGAAGAGAACTATGAAGACCTTAAGATGTGCATAAGGGATCACAAATCGCTGCTGAAGTGAGTGGAAGTGGTTGGCTTACTTTCATAGAATAGAGTTCTAATGGGCGCCTCTTCTTCTTACAGGCTGTTCGATATCGTGCATCCGATTATCTCCACCACCTATTTTCTACAGTTCATGACCACTTCGCTGATGGTTGGTTGCACTTTACTCAATATAATGATCTTTGCGGTGGACAACTCTGCACGCATCGGCCACTTGTGTTATGTTGTTGCCTTGCTCATGGAGGTCTACCCTCTGTGCTATTATGGCCAAAGCCTGCTGGACGATAGTAATAGTCTGGCTAATACCATTTTTCATGGCCGCTGGGTAGATCAAAATGAGGATTTTCGCAAAATGTTGGTGATCTTCACACAACACACCCAGAAACCTATGGAGCTGCTGGCTGGGAAGCTAATTCCTATCAATTTGACCACTTTTGTCAGGGTGGGTAGGAGTGGCATAGAGGAAGGGTCTTTCCATTACAGACGTCACTTATGAACTTCTCTTGCAGATCGCTAAATTTTCATTTACGCTCTACAGTTTTATTAACAACATGGGTGTAAAGGAGCGCTTTGAGGGGTTGTAAAGCTGCGCAGAGGAGAATCAAGTAGAAAGTTTTCAGAAGACACATAGATGTAGTTGCTTTTGTAGAGTAGAGTGACTAAACAACATGCCCCTGCAAATGAAAAGTTTCACACTTTTGCTCCTTTGCTTTGAGTAGCTTTAAATAAGAAAGGGAGTATTTAATTTTTGCAAAACTAAGTACTTGGCTGAGCGGGTTGTGAAAAAACTTACGCGAAAACAGAATTAATAATTAAATTATCATATAAAAAGTCGGCACATCTGTTACTCATATAACATTGGACTAACCCTACGGCCAACACTCACAATGGGCAATGGAAGTTTCCCGGCCATTTGTTGATATTTTCCCTGAAAGTCGCGAATTTTCTTTTTTCTGCAATCCGACGTCATAAAAGTGTCTGCAATCCTATCAACTTTAGGCGATGTGATGCTGCCAGGGATTTATATTGAATTTAGATTGGAAATCAATCATTTTCTATATCCTCTTTGAAGTTTTCCAAAAAATTTTGGTGGCAAGTTACAAAAATGGCGTTGCAAGTAATATTCCGCCATTCGTTTAATAATTATTACAACGCACAACATACAGTACGCTTTACACTGAAAATTTTTTTAAAAAAGATCTCGCGCTTCCACACTTTAATGAACGCCATATGTGTGAGTAATTTTCTTCATACAAATACAGCTCTGGCGACACCAGTAAATGTGAACCAATAAATAATTTCGGGCCCCCATTGAGAAAAAATATAGGACCACCCTAATGTAAATATGTATTAACTAATAACTTTCATTATGTTGTCATGCGGACATTTCTGACAGTTAAAAATTCTATTTGGTCTAAAAAGAGAGCAGTAATCAGTAATTGTAATTGAGTATCCATTTCAATGGGATAAAAGAATATTCAATGCGCGACGCAGATGAATGCTGTTGAGTAATGTTCATTGTAGTACTGCTGTTCATTGTAGTACTGGGTCAAAGTACACTCCGTCCGGCATCAAGGTTTCGCTGTGCTTTAGGTATAGGCCAGGCATAGCTATCGGTTAAAGCTACTTTCAAACACACGATAACGGTAAACACACGTTAGAGTAGAGGTTGGTGGTAAAGCAATTGGAATCGGTGGGGCATTTGCATGCCGAAGAGACGAAGTGAGTGAACCATATGCTGTTATAATTAATGTTCCACAGATTGTCGGAGTTGTCTCATCTCTGCAACTACGTCAGAAATCGTTAGACGGTGAAAATCCATTATTTCCATGCAAAACCCTTCAAACAGCGTCCTGTTACAGTACCAACTACTGTGCGAATTGGACAATGGCTGAGATACTGTAGCGACCGTGATCTATTCGCATTGCTTGCAGAGTTCACTAAAGTAGTTAGGTTCAGCGACGCTTCCACTTGGAATGTCTCTATGATCTGTGGCAACCAAGACTACAAATTGCTGCTATATGACTTTAAAGATTTCTTGCCAACTTGGGTTCGGTGTAGTCAATGAGAGCTTTACAACTCAAAACAGGTTAAAAGCTAAACTCTGCTTGATTACGACAACCTTTCATTTGCCGCTGAAGGCGCAGAAACTTTAAAGGACTTCATTTCTGAAGAAAAGTTCAAGTGCAGTTTTCAAGCCAAATACAAATGACCCGGCTTTTATACGACACGAGTAAATGAATCGCAGAAGGATACACCTGAAGTACGTGCTGTGTATAATGTTTTTTTTTTTTTTTTTTTTAATGAAATCATGATTCCACTTCATTAATGTAATCGTAGCATTTTGCTCGCCCACCTTTTTGCTTACTGGCCAAATCCGGTTTGTGAATATGACTGCTTTTCCGGGCAGCAAAATTTGTGGGCAGCAACGGAATTCCACCCACTAAAAGCCGCTTGCATAGATTATGGTTTAATTATTACATTCGATGAGTACAAATGCCAGCTGCGTTGTTTTTTTTTTTAATTTTCCATTAGTAACTAATAATATTCATTATGCCGATATGCGCGCACTTTTCTCAGTTCAACATTCAATTCGACGTGGTGAGGAAGCCAAGAATCAATGGATCCAAGCTGATTGATTTAAGATTATGTATGCCACAAACTTCATTATTTCAGCGAACGAAAAGACAAGTTTATAGCGTTTTCTTTTCTCGAAACAATGTTGCATTTATTCTGTCCCATGGCGGAATTATACCGGATGAAGTAGCTAGATCAAGAAGAAAGATTTCGACACTGCCAGTAGAACTTGGGAGCATCGTACGATTGCTCGGTGAGCAGAGCGGGGTCGTAATGATGCCTTTAGGAATTAAATTACTCTCAATTACAAATTACAAGGAATTGTAATTAGGAATCAATTCTTTCAGTCCGCAGCAAAGGGATCGATTACTTCCTCAATTCCTTGAAGTAATTTCAAATGTAATTGTTTTTTTTTTTAAATTCTATTTCCTTGTAATTGGAATAAATTACGTGCTCGTAATGTAATCTTTTTTTCCAATTCCTTTGAAAGGAATTGAAAATGTAATTGATTTTTTTTTCAATTCCATTACCTGGAATTGCGAGAGTACTTTAGTTTTTTCAATTACTCAAAGGAATTGTAAAAGCAATCGAGAAACTCAAAGTTCATTCACGAATGTACAATGTGGAATTTTTGTTGTGGTCCAAGATTAAAATTGAAAGCAGACATTGGACATCTTCTATGTATATCTATATATATATAAATGTTGTGTTCGTATGACACGGTCATCAAAACTCAAGAGCGGCTGACCGATTTGAATAATATTTTATTTATATTATTCGGTATAATACCAGAACCAATGATATACACAAATTTGGGGGGTTGCCACCTATTTTAAAATTTTTTAACCCAATTATATTGATAAATTTAATGAATTATTACAATATGGGTATCAAGTTAAAGAGGTTTAAGAAAGATAACTGTTAGAGGTATTTTTGACGAGGATTGCCACCTATTTGAAAATTTTAACTCGGCCAAATTGATAAAATAAATGAAATATTGCCATGTGGGTGTCAAACCAAAGAGTTTTAAGAAGGCTTACTGCCAAAAAGATGTTTGAGGAGGGTTGCCATCTGTTTGAAAATTTAACTAAATTACATTGATAAAATAAATAAAGTATTACAATATAGGTATCAAATTAAAGAGATTTAAGAAAGATAACTGTTAGAGGTATTTTTGACGAGGATTGCCACCTATTTGAAAATTTTAACTCGGCCAAATTGATAAAATAAATGAAATATTGCCATGTGGGTGTCAAACCAAAGAGTTTTAAGAAGGCTTACTGCCAAAAAGATGTTTGAGGAGGGTTGCCATCTGTTTGAAAATTTGACAAATTTACATTGATAAAATAAAAAAAATATTACAATATAGGTATCAAATTAAAGA